GGGCTGTTCTTAAACCGAGGTACAGTGATACCTTGGGTTACAGATGCTTCAGGTTATAGAGTGACACTTCAGGTTACAGACTCGGCTAACCCAGAAATAGTACCTCGGGTTAAGAACTTTGCTTCAGGATGAGAACAGAAATCATGCGGCGACAGCGGGAGGCCCCATTAGCTAAAGTGGTACCTCAAGTTAAGAACAGTTTCAGGTTAAGAACGGACCTCCAGAATGAATTAAGTTCTTAACCCGAGGTACCACTGTACCACTGTAGCTTAGAAGAGGGTGTGGCTGGCTCACCAGCACCCTGAGCTAGAACAGTCCATCATCATAGAATCATAGAGCTGAAAGAGACCACAAGGAACATATAGTCCAACTCCCTGCACTGCAGGAATCTCACCCATAAACCAGAGATTAAAGGTTTCATGCTCTACCAACTGTGCTATCCCCCACCTCCCGCAGTCCACACTGTAACACTTTGTGGCAGGCCCACTTCTTGTGACGACAATGAAAACCACAAGAAATAATAGAAGTAGTAAGCAGTAATAAAAATGTCATTTGCTTTGGTTCAGTGGATGAGGCACTCCGGGCCATCAAGACTCTGCGCAGCGAGAAGGCAGTGCTGGCAAAGAAGCGCCAGTTGATGCGCGCCCTATTTGGTGATTACAGAAAAAAAATTGCAGAGGAAAAACAGAAGCAGCTGAAGCTCATGCAAGCAGGTAAGGAAGTGAAGCATGGCTGAGCATTTGGGGACAGAGTTTTGAGCCACAGCGATAGCATATTAGGGGCTTTTTCTGAGTGGGGCTAATATTGGGGGTGGTAGGCAGAATACAACTGCCCAGAGCAGTCTCTAGCTTTCTGTCTTTGCATGTCTACTTGGAATTCAGTGGTACTTAAGCCCAGGTAAGTGAGTAAAGGATTGACAAGAGATTGCAGATAACTGCCTAGATGAACCCTCGCCTAGATGCCGATGCTGTAAATTCTGTCCCACCCAAAGGAGTTGTGTGCCTAAGTTTCCGTTGTTCTTCCTGCAACCAAGTTGTAGCTGGTGCTTGGGAACATAGGAAGCCGCTTTAAGCTGGTCGGTCTTTCTCAGTATTGTCTACACCAGAAATAGCCAACGTGGTGCTCTCCAGGTGCTGTTGGACTGCAACTCCCACCAGTCACAGCCGATGTGGTCAATTGTCTTCCTTAAACAGAGGAAAGCAGTGTTATTTCTGTTCCCTTTTTCTAGGGAGAAGGAGCATTTGGAGGGCTGTGTCCCAGATGTAAAAGGTAGCAGGTTCCCCGAACGCGATCAGTTACTTTCAGCTCTATCTCACCTTTTAAAAGATGCCTGTGCAAGCAAAAATGTTCAGGATGAGAAAGTAGACAGACTCACTAAGGTGTGTGATGCAATTAAGAGATTTTAACAGGGGTTTTTCTATCTCCAAGCGTCAAAAGCAGCTCGTATCGCAGAAGTGACTGAAGATGCTTGCAGGAAGAGCAGCCGGGTTTTCAGGAAATCCGCAGTCACGGCCAGGAGAGACCAGAGACCTACAGGATCCTTTATTCCGTCTTCTACACAGACAGCTTCTACTGGGGCAGCTGAGACGTGCTCTTTTGCACTCACATCTTCCCAAGAGGAATTCTGCTTCAATTTTTTCTAAGGAAGCTTGTTGAATACTTTTAACAGGTTTCTTTCACCTGGGTGTTAGAAACTTGGGCAAAGTTTGCGTTTTGAAAAACCAAAGAAACAAGCAAGCCAAAAACTTACTTGCAGAAAGGTTGCAAAAAATGGAATCAGATATGTTGTTAAGTAGCCTGAAAAGCCTAATGGAAGTGCCTTAGGGGGAGGAGAAAGAGGGGTCTGGTGTAATCTGTGCAGGCCCCCATGAAATAAGTGGTAGCTTAATAAAACATTGCAGGCACATGGCTTGCCCCCGAGGATTCTGGGAGTTGTACAATTCCCAGCATTCTGAACAAACGACATCTCGCAGGATTCTTTGGGGGAAGCCATGTGCTTACGATCTACTTAAAATGTATGGCGTGCATGCAGCCAGAATTGGGTGTCTTTTTCTTTTTAAATCTTGGTGGAAATCTAGTAAAATAGCAGGTATAATTTAGAGGTGGCAGGAAAGAGAAGTATAATCAGCAAGGGAGCAAAGAATGCCTAGCCAAAGATGGGCTGTAAAAATACAGCAAGTGCATCTATGCCATCAGAATTACTTTACACCTTGTAATTAAACCACTTTGAGGTTTTTGGGTATATAAATTTTATGAAATAAAATAATTGAATCCTCCATTATTTACATTTAGAGTTTGTGTGTGAGAGAGGTCACATGCACACCATTCATCCAAACCACATTTAAAGCATATTGCTTCCCCCAAAGAATCTTGGGAACTGTAGTTTACCCCTCACAAAGCCACATTTTCCAGCATTCTTCATAAACTACAGTAACCAGGATTCTTTGGGGGAAGCCGTGTGCTTTAAATGTATGCTATTGGTGTGACCCCCCCCCCCTGTTCAAAGCTCTGTACAGCACAGATAAGTTTCCACTGGATCCTGGTGCAATGCAGTTAATCGCTAAACTCATATATTTTACAGTGACTAACAATACCTTCATTTTTATAGCAGATCATTTGGGAAATAGAAATATTTTGCTATAAAATTAATATCTGTTTCCTTAGTTACTGTAGTGAATGTGATTGCCAGCTGACCGCAGACAATAGCCTACCTTGTTCTTTTGGCTTCAAGAGCAGCTGAATCTTCAGAAATCAGCACAACAAAGTAGATATTCATGGCATTACCATTATTACCTGCTGATTCCTGCATAACCATCTGATATGAAAAGGCATCACTGCTGGCAATTGTTAATTCTCACACATACGCAAATGCATATCTGCAAACCCTGAACCTGTGCAGCTGCTCAGATTGGTCACTTGGCACTGAATAGCGGATATCGAAACAATTGCCTGATGAAATTTGCCAAGCATTGTGGGTACAGTCAAGCCTAGATTGCTGCCTTGTTGGGAGATCAGGCATTTCCCATGGTGACATCAGCTGTTGAGGCTTCTTCACACCTATGCAATGCAAATTGCCTACTTGTGTGAATATGTCAAGTAAGAAAGAAAGAAAACCAATCTCTTTTGCACCTAGGCAAGAACAGGGGCAAATGATCTAGTGAACAGATGGATGCCTTAAATCAGAGACAAAATAAATGGATTTCCAGATCTTGCCCGTCTCTTTTCTCTTTCTTTTTTTCTTCATTATTCTTGTGAAATTTGTTTTCATTTCAGGCATTCAAGTTTTATTTATTTAAAACGGGTTGTATCTAACAGGCTTAGAGTAGGCCTATTGAAATTAATAGATCTAAATCATGTATGTTATTTTCCGTGGGTCTACACTGGGTAGGACTAGCATCTTGTGGAAGCAGATTCCATAGTTTAAACTTTAAACTATGCACTATGTGGGAAAAGTACCGTATTTTTCGCACCATAGGACGCACTTTTTCCCTCCTAAAAAGCAAGGGAAAATGTGTGTGCGTCCTATGGAGCGAATGCAGGGGGGGAGGCAGGCGGGAAAAGCCCTCAAGAGCCACACACAAGCTTCGTGCGCTCTTGCGGGCTTTTCTTCAGGAGGGAGAAGGGACTGACTGGCTGCAGCAGTCCCTTCTCCCTCCTGGGGGAAAAGCCCCCAAGAGCGGCGCCCTCTTTAAAGGCTGTGCGGCTCCTGCAGGCTTTTCTACGAGGTGGGGGAATCCCCCACCTCCCAGAAAAGCCAGGAGAAGCCGCACCACCCCTTTAAAGAGCGTGCGGCTTCTGCGGGAGGTGGGGGAAGCTGGAGCAGATTCCCTCCTCCCGGGCTCCCTTTGAGGCGGCAATGTGGGAGGGGAGCAGCTTACACTCGTGTAAGCAGCTCCTCTCCCACTTTCCTCCTTCAAAGCAACTACGGAGGAGGGAAGGATCCTCCGCTGCTGGAGGCTTCAGCAGATTCCCCCCCCTCCGTGATTGCTTTGAAGCAGGAAAGTGGGAGGGGGGCAGCTTACACTCGTGTAAGCAGCTCCTCTCCCACTTTCCTCCTTCAAAGCAACTACGGAGGAGGGAAGGAGGAGGACCATGGATCCTCCTCTGCTGGAGGCTTCAGCGGATTCCCTCCTCCGTGATTGCTTTGAAGCGGCAATGTGGGAGGGGAGCAGCTTACACTCGTGTAAGCAGCTCCTCTCCCACTTTCCTGCTTCAAAGCAACTACGGAGGAGGGAAGGAAGGGGACCATGGATCCTCCGCTGCTCATGGCTGCAGCGGATTCCTCCTCCGTGATTGCTGGGAGCTTCTCTGGGCAGGAATTCCCTCAGCTTAAGTGGGGTGGGGGAAGTGTGGCAGGTAGGGGGGTACCTACCTAGACACTGAAGCCACATGTCTCTTAGATGAAAATTGGGAGTGAGCATTGTGTGAAGTGGCTGTGGATCTCCTGCCGCAGAACTGTAGGACTTTATAGAGTTGGGAGGGCCACCCAAGGGTCATCTAGCCCACCCCCCTCACAATGTAGGAATCACAGCTAAAGAACGCCAGGCAGATGGTCCCCCAACCGCTGCTTAAAAGCCTCCAGTGGTGGAGACCCCAAACACCTTCCGAGGTCATAGAATTGCAGGGTTGGAAGGGAACCCCAGGAGTCATCTAGTCCAGCCCCGGTGGACAGCAGGCGCAATCCATCCCATTGCGCAAGACTAAAGATACTGCGCAAGGCTAAAGAAGAAGCCAAGGCAGTGAGCGGGATGGATCGCGCTTGCTGCCTTGTCTTCTTCTTTAGCTGCACTGGAGAGGTTTAGCTCCTGGCTGGAGAGGTTGCGCGGCTATGGACCCCGCACGCTGTCTTGGCTTCTTTGCTCTTTGGGGCTGGGGGGGGGACCCGGGCTTCCCCCGCAGCCCCAAGAAGCTCTGGGAGAAGTGGACAGGCTGCGTCCCCTCTAAAAACTAGGTGCGTCCTGTGGTCCGGTGCGTCCAATGGAGCGAAAAATACGGTAATTTCTTTTGTCTGTCCTAGTCTTCCAACATTCAGCTTCATTTGATGTCCCTGAGTTCTACTGTTATGAGAGATTTGATCCGTATTACAATCAAATCCTGGAGATTTCCATTTAGATGGAGACATTCAGATATGAAATGGGCTATGTCTGCTTCTGCCAACAATGTCTACTACCACCACCCGGGACAGGCAAGGCCACCACTTGCCTCTCCATTCATAAGGAGACACTGTCTTAAGAACAAACCATTTTAAAAATGCTGAAATGCTGAGGGGTGTAGGTGGTCCCAATTTTTTCGTTCCTCTTAACATTGGCATTTTCATCTGTAACAAAATAACTCCTGGCAGGGATGATGCCACACAATTCCAGCTTCGCTCAGACCTTGCCTGGAAGATATATGAAGAAACCAGGAGCATCAGCCAAGGCTTCTCCATTCACATTTTGGCTCACCATTTCCACTATTGGCCCTTTGGCCCAACTTCCCTGTAAGGAAATGGAATTATATTCACGATCCCTATTCTGGGATTGGTTAAAGGTGGGGGCGGGCCTGGTGAGCGTTGATTGGTCCCTTGTCTATGATAGCTAGGTGGTGGATCTGAAAGGAAGGCAAGGATGTAACGAGAGTTTAGAAAGGGCAATCTTGTCTTCAGTAGCCATGCAGAGCAAAGCTTCAGAAGAGGACTAACTCCTAACTCCCAGAACCATCAAATATTCTTCCAGACTGCCTATTCGAGAGAGAGAGAAATTCACCCCTTTACGTTCTGTAACTATCGGTGCTATTTACAAACTGAGGGAAGGGGAATCTACAAATAATTCTTACTTTAACATTTAGATTATTATTATTTTTTAAAGACATTTTGGAGCAAGCACATTGAGTGGTTGTTTTTGCCTCTTGATTTAAAAGTAGTCTAAAAAGAACAAAGGCATTTTTGATGTGATCCTTTAATTACTAGGAGATAACCTGAGTTGAGTGAAAAGTATTTTTTAACTTTAATCTTAGCTCTTTAGGCAGCAAAAAACCCTAACACATAACATGAGCTCATTTTAAAATTGTTGTGTTACAAGACTCCCAACAACAATGAAACGTTCAGTAAATTTCAAGGACAGTATTCAAAATCACTAACATTTTTCTGCAGCAAAAGTTTTGAAAGAAGATATAGAGAAGTGACTTTGGCAAATTAACGAACTGTGAGAAAACTGGTTTTATGATACGAAGCATCTTTAATTCTGAAACTAAGCCTCTGTTCAGAAACAAAGTAATTGTTATATTTCACCTGTGCTCAAAATAATAGCTTTTCTTCTGCTATCAACTGACATTTAGCATGAAGGAAATGTTTTTTTTAAGAGTTCTAAATTAAATGTTCCAGAATACTAATTTCCAGGCTGGGTTTTAGTGCTTCTCACTGAAATAAGTGCTTTGGTTTGTCTGGACCCTGAAAACGGTACCATTTGAAGTACGTAAAACATCTGCCATACCCAGCACTAGTTTAGGTCTACCGTGGCAATATCTAAAGTATCTACTGCTCCTGGTACCCAATAACTGAGATGGATGAAGTCTGGGTTGTCTATTTGTGTATGGTTCTGTTTGCCATCGTCGTTATTTTGATGAAGCAGAAGCCCGATGATGAAATCAGGAAAGAGACAGAGACGCCAAGCGCCTCTGCTTCAACCTCATCCTACTCTAGCAGTTCTGGAAGTCGTATGGAATGCACTGAGGAGGAGATGGAAGCATCCCTGAAGCGACTAACCAGCATCTTGTTCCATGCTGATGCCCAGAGGAGGGAACCCCGTCACGAGCACAACACCTCTGCCCATCAGAAAGATCCAGCAGGAAAGGAGCTAGGAGAATCCCAGCCTCAGCTGAGTCAGAGGAGAAATCAGGTACTGTACAAAGGCCCAGAAATTATCTTGAGATGGGCCCCAACCATATGACGCCTTTGGGCTGCAATGGCTGTGCCCTGGGTACACAGGGTACAGTGGTACCTCGGGTTAAGAACTTAATTCGTTCCGGAGGTCTGTTCTTAACCTGAAACTGTTCTTAACCTGAAGCACCACTTTAGCTAATGGGGCCTCCTGCTGCCGCCGCCGCGCCGCCGCTGCACGATTTCTGTTCTCATCCTGAAGCAAAGTTCTTAACCCAAGGTACTATTTCTGGGTTAGCAGAGTCTGTAACCTGAAGCGTATGTAACCTGAAGCGTATGTAACCCGAGGTACCACTGTATAGTGTTGGGCTGTATGGAATCAACACCCCTAGTATCGGTTTCAGCATGACCAAGGAATTCATCCAGTAGGCCCTTAGGGCATGGGGGGGGGGTGATCACAGAATCACTTGACAGATCAGTTCCCTCAAACCTGGTTTAACTACACCAGAAATGTTGTTAGCCTGACTAACACACGTATACTTTTTATCCTCACAACAGCCCTGTGAGGTAGGTTGGGCTGAGAGACAGTGATTGGCCTAAAATCACCCAGTAGGCTTTGTGGCTTCCAAGCTCCCAGTCTAGCACACTAACTGCTCTGCCACATTGACATTTACACTTACTCTTACGCTGCATTTAGTTTACATTTGAAATAAAGCGTATTGTGACTTGGTGGCTAGATTGATTTAAATCATGGCTTACACTATCAAGGGAGGAGGGAAGGCCGATTTAAATAATTGATTTTTACTGATTGGTTGGTTTTCAGATTGATAATGTTCTTCATATATTTCCTAAACAAAGGTGCAGTTCCAAAACCAATAAATAAAGTGGGATGTAGATATTCTTATTGGAGGGATGATCAAATTGTGTTCTTAGTTTTTTTCCCAATTAACACAGACAGAAAAGCCTCCTTTAACTGAAATATCTGGTAGAGGCCACTGACTGATTTGGTTTAGAGAGTAACTGTAACACTGAGCTGTTTACAATAAAGCTGTTTAATATTAACCAAGTTATTATTTAATATAAATTCCCTGTTCAAAAAAACACCTCCAATTGAAATCTCATTAAAAAAATACAAAAAAAAATATTGATTTTCGTCCACCCCATGACTTGGCAGCATTAGAAACATAAGTTTGCATTTCTGTGCCTACTTAATTTGCTGAGTGAGCTTTTCAAGTCCAGTTTTAGCTCCAGTAAATAGTTTCAGGTGTCACTTCTCTCTCTAAAAGCCAAGCTATGTCTCAGAACAAAAATATGATATAGCCCACATGATATAGCCCTCAGCGTGATGCCCTCTAAATCCTTTGAACTACAATTCCCATCAACCTCAGCCAGCACAGCTGTGCTCTCCACCCCTTCCAGTAGCTTGGTCAACACAATAATTTCTTCAGGATGGGGATGGTTTTTCTCAACCCCCAATATGAAGCGCCTGATGAAATGTTCCTCTGTGTGTCTGCTAACTGCCCTGTGATCTTCAGATGAAAGGGGGGATGTACTTTTAACAACTAATAATAATAACAACTAAATGCATCCTGTTTTTCCTTTCACCCTGGTCACTTCAGGAGTGTATTTCAAGCTGACATTTAAGAGCTTCAGATGGCAAAAACTTTCAACAAATTCAGTGCCGATAAATCTGATCAAATAAACGTCAGGTTCATTTAAGTATACTGAACATATATGAATAAAAGTACATAGAAAGCTGTCTATGTACTGAATTAGACCATTGCCCCATCTAGTTCATTATTGCTGACACTGAGTGACAGCAGCTCTTTTGGGCAAACGACTTTCCCAGCTGGAGATGCTGAAACAGCCATCCTTTGAAATTCACACTTATCCCACACATTTCCATGTTATTTGCAAATGGATTTTATTTGGATGCAAGTATGTAACGCGAAATAAGCACTAAACTTGCACTATATTCCGCTGGATTTCTGGAAGTGGCATTTGCATCATGTGAAAGCTCAAATTATAATGGGAAAATTAACAGGCAAATGTCGTGAAAAAGGAATAAACTGCTGTGTGAATGCAGCCTTAGACGACAACCTCTTTCCTCCAATTTTTCCTCTCCCACTCTGCAATATGGGACTAATAATTCTGGTCATCCTTTCTGGGTTGTTTCCATAATTCCTAAGCCCCTAAGAATTCACTTTGGACACACTGGCGCCCAATATAAACGTATGTTTAATCTAGAGTTTTAAAGAGTGTTCTTTTTAGGGTTTCTTCTCTCTTTTATTTGAAGGAAAGGCACAGCAAGGAATCAGAATGCTGAAACTCATTTATTTTAGCAAAATGCCTTCTTTCTTGTTGAGTATGCCCCAGCAGATATCTGTGCTCTTTCTGCTTAATTTGGGTGGAGTCCCCTGGACTTTTTCCATGCTTCTATTTGTGCATCTTGTTTTGCAAGCTTGTGTCTATTTTCTTTCCCGTAAAGTCTTACAGTGTTTTCCACGCCTAATGATTACCTCATCTGTCAGATGATACATCCTTGCGGGGGGGGGGGAGGCGGAATGTTTGCAGAGATGGGATCCTTTGCCCAAGAATTACAGGAACAAGAAGTCAATGTTTCCCCTCAATTTCTAGGCTTCAGCTGTGAGGGGCCGTTGCTTACATAGCCCATTGCACAAGAGAAACATTTGCAGAAGTAAAAACAAAAAAATTATGGGGTGAATCACTGTGATCACTGACTCAATATTCATTGAGTGTGCAGATATTGGGGGGGGAGAACCCTGCAAATTGGGGTGGGGTTGGAGGAATGGAGTGGAATGTGCTGGAAAAGGGCAAAACTAGCTGGCTGGGATTTATATGTTTGTTTTATTCAGCATTTTACACACACAGTGTCTCAAAGTGAGTTGCAACACTATATAAAATGCAAGATGCCTAGACTCAGTGAAATCCAAGTGAATAAGAAGCCAATTTATGTTTTCCCTGGTCTGCAAAGAAAACCTATTGAGTTCTCAATTTTCCCAGGGTCTTTGAAAGGTGCAGTTCACGCCCTGCAGTATTGAATTACAGTTAACCTTTCGCAGGAATGCTGCACTACCCTGTTGCGATCGGATATGATATTTGGCATGGCGCTTTATAAATACTTTTTGGGCCTTGAATCAAAATAGGTCAAGCTAATGCCATTGCTATGCATTAGGCACCTGAGAAACATTTTGAAAATGTGGCTTACCACCTGCCTGTGGTCTCCCTGTCTTTTTAGTATCTCACATGGTTTTGACATCACCCACTGCATGGTGAACTTAACCACAATGAGGCAATGGCTAAGTACATCCAGCCTCTGCCTGAAGCAAGATGAGCGCCACACCCCATAGTCAAGTCTGACTGGACTTCACCAGCCAGGGATCCTTTACCTTTACCATGCATGCATGCACATACAGCCCACTACCCTAGGGTAGTGCAAAATAACCTGTTGTTGTTTTCCTTTGCAGGTCTGAAATGACTGATGAATTTTAGATAGCAGCATATGGTGAGCATGTTCTGATTTTCATTTGGGGCTGCTGGGCTCCTTCAACTGACCTGTTTGTTGAGCATCCAACCTGATTTGCTTGTGGGGCATCTTTCCATTTAATCATTTGTTGCATTTTTTAGTGCATTTCCCCATCACTTTCCTAGCAGCGAAAAATATTTCCCTCTCCACAAAGTGGGTTTGTTGTACTAGGGTGTCAAAGCACTTTAATTGCGCAAACCTTAATTTCTGGTATACGTTTGACTTCTCCTTGTGAAATAGTGGAGTCTAGAGGCACCAACTCTTGTGTGTGCAAAATATGTACTATGGAACCTGTTGAAAGCATCTCTATTGCCTTTCACTTCTTTGTTCCCTTCTAACAAACATTGAAGGGACATGGGTGGCACTGTGGGTTAAACCACAGAGCCTAGGACTTGCCGATCAGAAGGTCGGCGGTTCGAATCCCCGTGATGGGGTGAGCTCCCGTTGCTCGGTCCCTGCTCCTGCCAACTCAGCAGTTCGAAAGCACGCCAAAGTGCAAGTAGATAAATAGGTACCGCTCTTGCAGGAAGGTAAACGGTGTTTCCATGTGCTGCTCTGGTTCGCCAGAAGCAGCTTAGCCATGCTGGCCACATGATCCGGAAGCTGTCTGCAGACAAACGCTGGCTCCCTTGGCCTATAGAGCGAGATGAGCGCCGCAACCCCAGAGTCGGCCACGACTGGACCTAATGGTCAGGGGTCCCTTTACCTTTACTTTAACAAACATTGAGGGAGGTGCCAACACTACAGCCATCAAGGATTTGGACGTCTTACCATGAAAAGCAAGTGGGGTGGGGGGAACACCACATCATAAAATATGAACTCCTTAAGTCCACACATACACACATCTTTTATAAGTCCTCCTCTGCTCAACTTGCTGTGTTGCTTACACTGCAATCAACTGAATGCAACCAACAAAGTTCAGGACACACACACCCCGCGATATCTCGCATTATCAATAAAAATAAAAGCATAAGCTAAGGACCTACCCATGTGATGCAGACACAAACCCCTACACTAACAGTAGGCAACAGAATGAAAGAACAATACCCCCATCTCTCTCCCCCAACTGCAAGAAGCCTATGACAAAAGTGTCTCTCACTAAATGTAAACAAACTGAAAAAGACCAAGAACTGAAAGTCGAGACAATAGATGTACCTTTCCCTGTTTATCTGTTTTGTTACACAAAAATGCCTTTAATAAAAATATATATTTTTAAATACTTGGTCTGTGGCTCTTATGGATACAGCTTTACACTCAACCATAAACTGAGTTGGTTCTAAGGATGAAAGGATCAGTAACTTATGGTTCTCTCAGTTTCTAATTTTGTCAGACTTGAATTTGTTGGTTCAAGGAAAAAATAGGGATATAGAAAGGAGACTTCCTGGATGCAAAGATCCAGGTTTGGGACAAGTACTCTTTGATGAGAGAACCTCAGCATAGATTTAAAATCACAAAATATGCAGCAAACGTGGAAATATAGGCTTTAGACCTTTAGATTCTAGAATATGCCCTTCTGAATTCCAAAACTTCCTTCTCCTAGCATAGAAAAAGACCACATGTTTGGTAAGTTAAAAATGGTTTACTTAAAACACTCCAAAGGTCAGATTCATGTGCTTTTCACATCAGTCAGAAAAGTTGCACAAGCAGTAAAACTTGGCTTAGTTGCAAAATGGTGAAAATTCCTAAATTAGTGGTATAGGAACTCAATAGGGACAGCTTAGCCTCTTCACATGCTGAGTTCATAGAGTAGAATGGGAGAGGAACAAAGGCTTTATTATCTAGTCCAGGCATAGGCAAACTCCGGTCCTCCAGATGTTTTGAGACTACAATTCCCATCATCCCTGACCACTGGGCCTGTTAGCTAGGGATGATGGGAATTGTAGTTCCAAAACATCTGGAGGGCCAGAGTTTTCCTATGCCTGATCTAGTTAGTTGGTTATCTTTTTTTTTCTGTTTCATTGTTTATGAAAGACTGCTGTAAATTGCTTTGGTGTTTTTTTAAAATAAATGAAATTGTGGTGTACAAATATATTTATGAATGAGTAAGCTGAAACAAGCCCAAATCAAGTCCATGGGGTACGTGCGTCCCCACTCTGCTTCTGTCTTTTGTGGGAAGCTTAGAAGGTTTCACTTCTGTTTTTGTTAAGCACAGATTGCCCCATGGGGAATTGTGGTGACTTAAAAAAGCTAACTTTAGAAAACATTGATTAAAGTTGGTTTAATGTGCAACCACAGTTTGTAGGTCCAAACAACACGGGAAAAGCTTCCCGAATCCTTCTCTGGTGTGGCTCAGGAAGAAGGAAGGGGGGAATACAGGAGGCTAGGTCTACCTAGTTGTCATTCCAGCTTGTGCACATCACACTAAACTATGGTTTGTGTGCAACTACAGCCATTGTGGGAGGCAAGGGAGATGTTGTAAAGTGGTAAAGAACACGGCTGGCATGTAGGTCTTAGGTGCAGTCACCTACTAAAGGATCTATCGTGGTAGAGAAAAAACCCTGCCGAAGACCCTAGACACCCCAAGCCAGAATATATTTGGAGCTAATCAAGACCCAACTGGGAAAGCAAGTACATTCTGTATGCCCAATTCTGGTTTATAGGAGGAGAGCAGGGAGCCTTTTCTAGTTGTTATCACAGAAGCAAAAAGCCTTAATTACAAAGCATCTGCTGGGACATAACTCTATTAAATGCCTGCTTAAAAGCAGGCCATGAGGGAGTCAGACCCAGCTAGTGGAGACTGGTTTATTAAGATGAACAGAGCACTACCTCACTGAGCTCAGTCTGCCTTCAGGCAGCCCCCACCTAGAGGTGACACTAGCTGTCACGTTCTTAATTGGAGTGCCACTAACAACTGGCCAATCAGGGCCTTGCTTTTCAAGTGATCCAAGTGATCCTCTAAGGAAAGAGGTGTTTGTGTTGTTTATAAAAGCGTTTCTATATTTCCATATCGTATCACACCAAGGCAGTGTACCATGTTACAACATAAAGCACAATTCATTGTTAATTATTTTTAATGCAGAATTGTTAAGGTGACTGGCTAATCAATAATAAAAATAAAATAGCTGCAAAGGTTTGCCAGCATATAAAAGTCCTCAGGAGACTCCTGGGAGTCAAAAGCGAGGGTGCCCGATGAGTCTCTGTTCGAAGCGTGTTCCACAGCTCAGGTGTTGCTTGAGGGCCACTGTGAAAACAGGATGCTGTTGGGCCATTGGCCTGATTCAGCAGGATCTGCTTATCATCTTTTAGGACCACTGTTACTAAATGTCTGGCTCCTGGTTGAGGCCAGTTAGCCCCTGTAACATAGGGGATAATACTCCCCTGGATAATCTCAGCAACTTTAAGGTATCCTGCAAGAAGAACCTTGAACGGGTCCCAGTAGCATATGGGCAGCCGGTCCACATAACATCGCCGACACTTCGTTTGATCAAACTTACCTTTGTTGATATCTACAGGAGCATGACTAAAGGAACTTTAAAGACTGAATCTTCCTTTTGGACACAATTTGAATTAGTTTTCTGTTTGTGGATTCTGTAGTAGATCTTGTACATAGCTCTCTCAATTTTTGGATTATTAATATAAGATTTAGAATGTAGAATGGTTTGGTAGCATTTTGTGTGCCGCTTATGTGCTGCTTACTTTATACTGGTCTACTACAAGAATTGGCAGCATAGGTTCATTTCTTCGGTACACGTATTTCAGCAGTGGTGCTGTGTGCTGCTGTCCATCTGTCCCCAACAGCAATTTAGCTGCTACATTCTGCTCCAGCTGCAGCTTTGTGTCCTCCGTTCCTCTCACTCCTGACTGAATGTTCTCCTTGTTTCTCCAACAGGTTCGGTTCCCACTGTGCGCTGCTAGACGCTTGAAGCAAATCTCACACACCTTCTCCAAAAGGAAGAGGCTTTCAAAGAAAGGAAAACAACAGGATGTTTCTTTGCTCTTCCCACTTCCTCTAACAGAAACTGTGATTTTGACCTAACAGTTAGGTTATTCACTAAAGGCAAATATGCTGCTCCTGAGGCTGTTAAGTGCCTTCACTGTTCCCTGACCTTGCTGAACAAATTCCTCTTTCCCGCCTAGGTGGTTTTTATAGCTGCAGGCTTCAACTCTGTCCCACCTGTGCTCACAACAATATGGTTCCCTGGAAACTCCCTAGACATAGAGGTTCCTACTGTGTCCCTGTGACTGTCAAACTGTTACTGGAAAGTGTGTGTGAGAGAAAGAAAGAGATAGATAAAAAAAATCTTCAGAATGGAGGTGAACTTCAGGCCTGGGGATGGGAGGCAAATACAACCATCCTGTCCATTGGGATTCTCCAAACACTTTCTCTTCTCAGGCCTTGCTCATCACCTGGTTGTTTTCACCTGGCTGGAAATGCACCCTTGAACTCCTATGATGGCTGGAAACAGAATGTGGAAGCATGTGTAAAAGTTTACATCTGTTGCTCCACCCATTTTTGCTTCTGGCCCCACCTACCAGTAGCACCCCCCCCCCCGCCCCCATTGCTCAGAAGGGAATATGACCCTCCGGCTGAAAAGTTTACATGACCCTAGCTTGGAAGATGCTACCAAATAATGAATATGCTCTCTGTGTGCGTAGCTGGGTGTTTTCATTTTTCAATCCTTGTGTGGCATGACAAGCCCTGCATTTCAGCAGTTTTGTACGGGGCCAGTCAGGTTCTCTGCTGTCCCCTGTGCAACCCTTTGAAACGCCCCCCAGCAGCAGTTCCTTCCTGAACCAAATAAAGCTTCCGCAGTAAGCAGATAGTTGTGTTTGACTCCAAATTTTTGTACAAGCTGCTTTGAGGCCAGTTATGTTCCTATTTATCTGAGCTATCCTAGTATAAATTACACAAAGCCTGAGCTGCAGGTATTTGTACAAGCTGATCCAGATCATACTATCTATCAGTGTGTCTTCCTCATCCATTTAGCTCCCAGAGTTTTCTTTCTTTGTCTTGGAGTTGCTATGTTTGCTAAAATAACTCCGGTCCAGATTGTTCATCATGAGCTAACTTCCTGCTCTTACAACATGTCCGCAAGTAGCCTTTCCTCATAAGATGCTAAGATTTTTTCATACAGCTAACAGGAAGTCTCTCTTCCTCCTTGGCCGCTAGATGTTAGCGCCTTGCTATGTGCAAAGTAACAAGCGTAATCACTGAAGATGGGTTAGTTAAACCTGCTAGCTAGCAGCACATGGCACCTGAGGTAGGGATAGGTAGAAAGAATCAGTCCCCAAATCGTCATGACATTATGTTTGATGATTGGGAACAGTTATGGAACACAGGTGTTAAGTTTACGGCTTGTAATGCTTTGAGAGAAAACATAATGAAAATGATCTATAGATGGTACATGACCCCAGTCAAACTTGCAAAAATTTATCATTTGCCCAATAATAAATGTTGGAAATGTAATGAGACTGAAGGTACTTTCTACCACCTTTGGTGGACCTGCCCGAGGGTTAAGGCCTACTGGGAAATGATCTATAATGAAATTAAAAAGGTCCTTAAATGGACATTTCTTAAAAAACCAGAGGCCTTTCTCCTGGGCATGGTGGGCCAATTGGTGCCAAGGAAGGACAGAACTTTTTTTATGTATGCTACCACAGCGGCAAGAATTCTTCTGGCAAAGTATTGGAAGACGCAGCAGCTACCCACTCTGGAAGAATGGCAAGCGAAGGTGATTGACTACATGGGAATGGCGGAGATGACCGGCAGAATCCGTGACCAGGGGAGTGAGACAGTGGAAGAAGATTGGAAGAAATTTAAAATATACCTTAAAAACTGTTGTAAAATTGATGATTGCTGAGATGTTATGGTGTTAAGAAACAGAGAATTGCAGCTGTAAATCATAAGTTTAAGGAAATCATACGAAAATCAGTTAATTAATTGAATGGAGGGTTGCTGAGAAAGGGTAAATATAAGGATGAAGAAAAAGGGAGGTATGGGGAAGTCCGGGAAGCAAGGTGAAAGAAAATAAGTTTAAGAAATTATATATGTTTATTGGTTTGTATGTTTTGTTTTGTTTTATTGTTTGTTTTTACTATATGTTTGGAAAATTAATAAACATTATTTAAAAAAAAAAAAAAGTAACAAGCGTAATCACTGAAGATGGGTTAGTTAAACCTGCTAGCTAGCAGCACATGGCACCTGAGGTAGGGATAGGTAGAAAGAATCAGTCCCCAAATCATCATAACGCTTGTCAAACGGCAGAAGCACCACAGCTCAGTGGTAGAGAACATGTCTTCTATGCAGAAGGTTCCAGGTTCAGTCCCAGACATCCTCAGATGGCTCTGGGAAAGGCTGCCAGAAGCAGTGGAAGGTCTCTGCACTAGGTATGGAGAACCTTTGGCCCTCCAGATGTTGCTGAACCACAAATCCCATCATCCATCGCTGTTGGACATGCTGGCAGGGGCTGATGGGAGATGTAGTTAAGCAATGTCTGGAGGGTCAAAGATTCCCCACACCTGCACTACATGGCCATCAGGTGTTATTGGACTTTAACTTATACATTTATAAAACCTTAATTTCTGTGTCAACAGTGTTCTTTTTTTTTTTTAAAAGATATTTATTAAGATTTCAAACAATAAAACAAGCTTCACAAAACAGGGTACAAAAAAAGAAAAAACACACCATCACCTTCTATCCAAAAAACAGAAAAGCACAATAGAAAAAAAGAAAAAAGACATAAAAAAAGACATAGAAAAAAAACCAGTTTCTTAGATATTATTCTCATAATCTTCCTTCCAGACTCCCTCACATCTCCCTTTTCTGTGTTCCCATTTACACAATCTTATTCAGCAATACCTCACCTTCTTTCAAATCTTATTTCATATTATACATTTCAACTATTATGCCTCCAATTCTTCCCCATTTTTTCATGTTATTTAAGTTTGACATAATATTATTCTGACTTCACCTTTGTTCTGTAAACCATTTTTTACATACTCCTTTCAACTATATCACTAATACCATATTATCTTTATATCCCGCATCCTTCTAGCATTCATACAATTTACAATACTTTTGCAAGTAGTCTTTAAATTTCTTCCAATCCTCTTCCACTAGCTCTTCTCCCAGGTCTCGGATTCTGCCGGTCATTTCTGCCAATTCCATATAGTCTATCAGTTGCATCTGCCATTCTTCCAGAGTGGGCAAATCTTGTGTCTTACAGTGCTTTGCGATAAGTATTCTTGCTGCTGTTACTGCATACATAAAGAAAGTTCTGTCCTTTCTTGGCACCATTTGGCCGACAATGCCCAAAAGGAAGGCCTCTGGTTTCTTAGGGAAGGTATATTTAAATACCTTTTTCAATTCATTATAGATCATTTCCCAGAAAGCCTTGACCTTAGGGCACGTCCACCAAAGGTGAAAGAATGTTCCCTCAGTTTCTTTACATTTCCAACACTTATTGTCTGGCAAATGGTATATTTTTGCAAGCTTGACTGGGGTCATGTACCACCTGTATATCATTTTCATAATATTTTCTTTCAAGGCATTACATGCCGTAAATTTCACACCAGTGGTCCATAACCGTTCCCAGTCAGCAAACATAATATTATAGCCAATGTCTTGCGCCCATTTTATCATAGCTGATTTGACCGTTTCATCCTGAGTGTTCCATTTTAACAGCAAGTTATACATTCTTGAAAGTACCTTAACTTTAGGTTCTAGCAATTCTGTTTCTAATTTCGATTTTTCCACCTGGAAACCTATTTTTCTGTCCATAATAAAAACCTCCCTAATTTGACGATAATGTAACCAATCTCGCACTTTATCTTTTAGTTTCTCAAAACTCTGCAATCTCCATGTGTCTCCTTCTTTTTCTAATATCTCCCAATATTTCGGCCACTTGGCCTCCATATTGAGTCTTTTCTGAGCCTTAGCTTCCATTGGTGACAACCACCTTGGGGTCTTATTTTCTAGTAAGTCTTTGTATCTTGTCCAGACATTAAACACTGCTTTCCTGACAATATGGTTCTTAAATGCTTTATGAGCCTTAACCTTGTCGTACCACAGATATGCATGCCACCCGAACACATTATTGAACCCTTCCAAATCCAAAATATCAGTGTTCTCTAGAAGTAGCCAATCTTTTAACCAGCAGAAAGCTGCTGATTCATAGTATAGTTTCATGTCTGGCAGGGCAAACCCCCCTCTTTCTTTAGCATCAGTCAGTACTGTGTCAACAGTGTTCTTGACAGGCTTGAAAGCCCAGTGGGAAAGGGATTTGGGTGTAAGGTAAAGGTAAATGATCTCTGGACTATGGGGTACAGCGCTCATCTCGCTTCAGGCTGAGGGAGCTGACATTTGTCCAAAGACCGTTTTCTGGGTTATGTGGCCAACTAAACTGCTTCTGGTGCAAAATAACACTGTGATGGAAGCCACAGTGCATGGAATTGCTGTTTACCTTCCCGCCGCAGTGGTACCTACTTATCTACTTGCACTGGTATGCTTTCAAACATCTAGGTTGGCAGAAGCTGGGACAGAGCAACGGGAGCTCACCCCGCCGCACGAATTCGAACCTTCTGATCAGCAAGCCCAAGAGGCTCAGTGGTTTAGACAACCGCGCCACCCGGGTCCCTTGCAGATTTGGGTGTACACATAGAGGACATTGCATGATCTGGGACAAAGCACCATTTAGGTATACCTCTGCAATCAATTGCTATTAAGACTCTCTACCAGTGGTATATGCACCTGCTCCTTTTGAGCAAGATAAACAGCAATAATGCAGCATTGTGTTGGAGGAATTATGGGGACACTTATTCTCTTGTGGTGGGAGTGTCCTTGAGTGCATTGTTTTTGGACCAAGGTGTTTTGTGAGGGGGGTCTGATTAACAATCAAACCATTCCTTTGGACCTGAAACCTGCCCTTTTGTCACTTTTTAACTCTGATCTTTGGACCTTTTTCAAAAATACCTTGATGGTACCACAGCTCACCACTGCATCTCATGATGGTGGCACAGCTCACCATTGCAAACTATTTGCAGCCTCTAGAAAGCGACCTTTATGAAATTCAATGGACAAAATTTTGGGACCTCATACTGATGGATAAATTGAACAATAGAACAAACTATAAACATCCATAATTACAATATGCAATGACAGAAAGTATTTCTTCATATAAGTTCATAGTTAGACTATGGCACTCGTTCCCAGAAGAGGCAGTGATGGCCACTAATTTGGGTGGCTTTAAAAGAGGATTGGACAAATTCTTGGAGGATAAGATTGTCGGTTGGCTCTCTGCCATGATGGCTATGCATTCTCCACATTAGAGGCAGCTGTGTTTCTGAATATCAGGTTTTATACCTCTGCCCGCTTCCCTCTCTGAAACTTTTATTTTAAAAGCTGAGCTTTTTTGTGGCTTTTTCTTTGACTGGAGGGGTTGCCTTGGCGACAGGAAGTGCCGTGTTTGTTTTTTGCCTGTGTACACACACTATGCATTTAAGGTACATCGTGACTTCCCCATAGAATTCTGGGAACCGTAGTTTGTTAAAGGTGCTGAGAATTGTAGCTCGGTGAGGGGGAAAACTACAACTCCCAGGATTCTTTGTGGGGGGATGTCATGTGTGTTGGATGTACTTTAGGGACAAAAACTTCCAAGTTCCAGTCCGTTGCTATATAAATCAATCCATTTTTGCGTGTCCTCAAAACGGATCACTATCCCTTAAAATCCACAAACCTTTCCTCCTGGAGTGAATTAGACCCCCTGATCAATTTACAGAAGGAAAGAGGAGGAGACTGGAGAAGCCACTGTTAGGCACCCGACCCTGTCCCCTTTTCTTGGTTCATTTGGATGAGAAAAGTCCTCTTTTGCAAGGGGAGAGGAGGACTGACCGGGATCTAAGAAATGGGCGATTTTGCAAAGCAAGGCTGGGGCTGAGTGGCTGGCGAATGAGTAAGCGCGAGAAGAGAACCGCGTGTTTATAAAGTCAGAGGAGGATCCAGCGAGAACCGCAACATATTGGTTCACGTCCCCTCCCCACCCCGAAAAGTATATACAGTAGAGACTTCTTTCGTTTCGCCCCGTTTTTCGTAAAGAAAGAGAGAGAGAGAGACGCTTTTTTGCAAGCGCCGTGTTTCCTCTTGCAAAGCGCGCAGGGTGGGGGGTAGGTGCGATTTTTGAAAAGAAAGCCAGAAAAAAGTGTTGCTTGAAATCTGATCGCGCTTTTGCAAGCCTTGAATGAATCGGGTCGGGTTGCGGAGAGCATTGGGTCCCCCTCCTCGAGGAGGTAAGTGAGCAGAGGGAGTCGTGAAATTTGTCCAGGTTTGGGGTGGGCAGCTTCTCGTGGGTTGCCTGGCGTTGCAAAACCACACAACCCAGTTTCTCAAC